ATCATTCCTACCTCGAGTCCCAAAACAAGCTATTTCCGCTCTGCTCCCTGCAGTAAGTATGATGCATGAATAACGTACATGCTCAACAAGCGAATTTAACATGTTTATTTTTATCCTGCAAGGTTTCGTGTGAATCTTATTTAAAGAAGTTGGAAAAGTATAATTTTGACGTATTTGAACCAAAGCTGAGCATACAAGATTGGAAGTTACCATTCACACTGTGGATAAGTCATCGTAATCAGAGATATTAAAGCTAGTACAGGTTGGGACCTAATTTGTTGGTTATAATAAAAAACTGAAATATATTGTACCATATAGATCATGAATAAAACGGGTCGCTTTCTATTAGATTCCTAAATACTTTCTTTACACAATAATGCGGCTCAAGGTATAGAAAAGTCTTGCCGCGGCTAAGCCTTTAAGCCAAGACTGTTAAACACAATGACTTCTACCCTTTTGATTGTCAAACGAACACGTGGCATCGTTCTTCATCGAGTGCCCAACGTTAATTGTGCGTTGTTTGTGGTTTGCGACTGACGCATTTGTGGTGAGAGTTTGATGAAAAGCTTGTGGCCGGCTTGTTAGTGCGACAGTACCTTCTCGGCTCGCCTATTGCTCCAAGTCATATCTTTTGGGGAGCAAGCAGAAAAGTTGAGAACGGGAAAGTGAGCTAGAAAAGGTTGGAATCTCAACTCGCTACTCGGTCAGTAACCTGTGGACCAATGCTCGTTGTTAAACGTTTGAGGAGATTTAAGACAAAAGTATACTACCCGTTTTTAGGGAATCTTGCAAGTCATTAAGTTTGAATATAGTAACCCCACACAACCATAAAAACCAAATTGTTGTTGGAAATACGATTATAAATAATCATAGATAGCCATAACTCTAGTATAGTAAGTATATTATTATACAATACATAACAAAATAGTATGACAAGAATAGATGTAAGGAACCCCCAATATCCAAATAAGAAATATACGCGCTTCTTTAAACTTCCTCGTCGGGCGTTCTATACAATTCTCTTAATAGAAAGTAAGTGACATCTGAATCTGACCAGTAACTCAAATGTACAGTAATTGCGTTAATATAACTGACATCAAGAATTCCCTCCTGCAGAACAAGTTAGAATTAGATATGATCAGACAACGTTCATTATCGCATGAACTGATACACGACAAATAAATTTTACCTGTAAGCAATAATCGACTCTTCCAGTCGAATTTATACACTTTAACTTGGCAGCTCCAATCGGGTCGTCATTCTCATGCTCATTTAAACTACTCTGCGATTGTAAATTTCCAGTAGCAGATGCGGTTGGCGGAGATTGAGTCGAGGTGGCTGTACCTCCGTCTCGATCATTGTCAGTTGCCACTTTCCTGTTTCCTGAATCGGCGTGTACTCTGTTAAGAAGATTGCGCGCAAACATGACTGTTTTCACAGTTTCATACATAGTGGTAGCTTTGCTTGCGATCCCAGAACCAAATTCCTGTAGTCCGATGTGTACGGCTTTAAGACCACCTTTGTGGTATGGTATAAGCGCAGGCTTGAGAGTTGCGCTGTATCTGCGAGATATTAACGGTTCTAGCAATATAAAATCGTTGTCAGGGACTGTCTTTGGATAAACGTTGAACCCAAATGCTTTGAAAACTTACCTAATTTATATGCAATAGGATCTATTAAAAAGAGTATTTTCAGTACATTATCTCTACGGTGGCCCCTTAGCAAGCATATTAATGAAACATACCTGCGCGATGGAATATGTTATAAATGTTCTCGACAGCAGGATAGCATAATGGTATGGGAGAAGCGGCTGGTGAAAGCCGTAATCCCATTCCCAAGTCATTGTCACCCGACGCCGTTTTCTTATTTTCGGCAAACTTCCTCGAAGAAATCTTGACACCTTTCAACAACAAGAACAGCCCAATCGGTGATCCAACAGCGAAAAAGTTTTCAACCGGGAAATCCAACTTCACTAGACTTTTGTGTAATTTGTCATCTATATTTGCACCATCGTCGAATATACCCATCGAAGAGGAGGGGCTGGGAGGAACTTGATGACAGAGAATGTCAAAGGCAAGAACAGAGCCGAGGGAATGGCCATAAATAGATACTTTCCCTCCAACTTCGAGAAAATGAGGATTACGCTGAACAAAAAGACTATATACCCGATTGGATTCACGAGTAACTGTGTTAATCATTTGTTCTCTATATGATGGAGTCATGTATAATAGCACTACGTAGAAGATAATGCATAGTTAATTAACCGATTCGTAACGATTAAAAACCTTTCTTCAGTGTTTTTTAAAATTGCTTCTCTTAATCATTTCATTCACTATTTTGCCCACGATACTCCCCACTCGCTCTTCTTTTCCCAATAAACTAACCATCCATTAGCACATCTGATATCATCAATCTAATAGTCGGCACTCCATCCAACGTAATTTCATCCATAGTCGTTTGACCATCTTCAGCATCAGGTAATCCCAGATCACGCTGTATTGATTCATTGTTACATGCCATGCCAAACTTGATTTCCTGTCTCCATTGAATCGGAAGAACCTGAACTCCGTTTCCGCGATGTGGCGTTGGTGTGGAATTTCGCCTGGAAGCGTTTGGTGAAGAGGATGTTTGAGAGCGAGAACCGAGTTCATGCGGCGGGTTTGTTGCAAATGTGTTCTTTATTGTTCTACGTAAAACATTAACGTCTAGCGATAATTGATCGGGGATCGTTAAGAGGAGAATTTACGATACGAAATACAGAAATCAAGCAGAATCGCATATTTGCAACCCTACCGTGGACAAAGTTAATAGCCTCCATCCGTTCGCCTAGTTTCTGGCCGATGCTTTTCAAACAGAAAAAGGAAAGCGTAAACAAAGAATGTAGCTCGATCGGATCAAATTCTGTCAATCACATACCCATGAATGACTAGTACGAGATGATCAATGACTCTCTCTTCTTCGCTTTGCTCATTCTCATAGTCATGACTCTCTATCGTCTCCTGTACGTATTCTTTCTTTCGCTCGCTGAACGACTGGTTCAAATTAGTCGGTTGAAGCTCAGTCTCTTCTTTCTTCTTTTCAGCCTCTTCGGCTTTACCAGATAGTGTCTTGGTCACTTCAGCATATCCGCGTATTAATTTTATTCCGCCAAGATTTACTCCCATTGTCAGTTTAGCAAATATTGCCTTTGTAAGTTTACCAGCTACGTCATCACTGATAACAAAAAGAAGAATCGTAATATAAATATAGATATGGACATAAATATAAATAGAGAAATAGATAGTATACATATACGACACACACATGTTCGATGCGTATGTAACATAAAGCACAAAACTCAAAGAGATTCGACTTGGAAACAAAGTTACCTTAACAACCACGCAGTCGATGGTCCAGTATATAAGACATATTGCGACAAATATCTCCCAAGCAAGGCCCAAGTTTTCTCTTGCACAAGATCCTTCTTCTCATCCAATCCATTGCCACCCTCTTCGCTCGGCTCTACAGGGGGAATCCACGGTTGATGTTTCCTAAGCAGTGAACCCTCAAGCAAGTCAACAAAAAGCAGACTTAACAGATCGATCATGAGTTTTTTATCTTTAAAGAACGCAATAGTACTTGTATCCCTCTTCGATCTGCATCGCCAGATTCTCGTCGCATGGAATGAC